CATTGCTGCTCAGCTGCAGCGTCTGCACGCCGCGGTTCTGCTCCATGATCCCAGCTAGAACTTTAGCTCCCTCGTCCCCAATCATGTTTCCAGAGAGGTTCAGCGTCTTGAGATACGCGTTCGTGGCTAGAGCTTCTGTCAGGGCCTTGACGCCCTCCGGACCAATGCCATTGTTGGAAAAGTCCACACTCTCAACACTCTGTAGGCCAGGGAGTGGGCAGGGGGAGGGGATGGGGACGGGGAGCGAGAGGTGAGAGAGGGGTCTGCACGCCGCGGTTCTGCTCCATGATCCCAGCTAGGACCTTAGCGCCCTCGTCCCCAATCATGTTTCCAGAGAGGTTCAGCGTCTTGAGATATGCATTCGTGGCTAGGGCTTCTGTCAGGGCTTTTACCCCCTCAGGGCCGATGCCATTGTTGGAGAAATCGACGCTCTCAACACTCTGTTGAGGAAGGGGATGGGGATCGGAACATGAATCGGGATGGGATGGGGATTGGGAATGGGGAAGGAAGGGGTGAGAGAGGGTTCTGCACGCCGCGGTTCTGCTCCATGATCCCAGCTAGGACATTGGCCCCCTCGTCCCCAATCATGTTCCCAGAGAGGTTGAGCGTCTTCAGATACGCGTTCGTGGCTAGAGCTTCCGTCAGGGCCTTTACTCCCTCGGGACCGATCCCATTATTGGAAAGATCAACGCTCTCAACACTCTGTTATGGCAGGGGGTGGAAGAAGGGGAGGTTGAGCGTCTTCAGATACGCGTTGGTGGCTAGAGCTTCCGTCAGGGCTTTCACTCCCTCCAGACCTATCCCATTGTTGGAAAAATCCACGCACTCAACACTCTGAGGGGGTTGGGTGGAGGAGGGGAGGGAGGTTGAGAGGTTGAGCGTCATGAGATGCGCGTATCCCATAGTCGGAATAATCCACACTCTCCACAAGTCAAACAACAGGGAGGGGTCGCGGAAATGGGGGACGGGGTGAAGGGGACGAGGAAGGGACAGGAGAAGAGGGGAAGAGGATGGCGGAGAGGGGAAGGGAAGGAACAGGGGGGGAAGGGAAGGGGAAGGGGGAGTGCAATGAGTTGGGACGGGTATGGTGCACACTCCCTGATTCTGCTCCTTGATGCGTGCTGGTTTCATTTTCCCTTTCGGCTATGTCTAGTTCTCGGGATAGAAGCTCACTCACACATGAGCGGAGTAACTAGAAAAAGCTCACACCTTTTCTTTTTTTGCATGAGATTTCATTATAGCGGGGATACATATACAAATGAACTCACATTGTTGAAGGCGAGAGATTCCGCGAGGTACTTAAAGCCCTCGTCGCCCAGACTCTTGCCTGCAGGGGCGGAGCAGCGGGGGATGGGGGGAGCATGGGGGAAATGTATGGGCGGAATGAGACCAGATAAAAGTGAGTCCGCGAGGTACTTAAAGCCCTCGTCGCCCAGACTCTTGCCTGCAGCAGCAAGGGGCAGCGGGGAAGTGGGAGGGAATGGGAGGGCGGCCGAAGGGGGCAATGCATGGGCGAAATGAAAGCAGGGGAAGAAGAATTCCGCGAGGTACTTAAAGCCCTCGTCGCCCAGACTCTTGCCTGCATTGGCGGAGGGCAAAGGGGAACGCGGTTTGGGGGTGGGGAAGGGGGAAGGCAGAGGGTGTTGGGGAAGGTAGGGAGGGGGGAGGGGGAGGGGAAGGGGGAGGGCAGAGGGTGTTGGGGGGAAGGAGGAGGGGGAGCTTAAGAACGAAATGATGACTACCCGGCCTACTCACACTCCTGCCTGGCTTTCTGACTAAACCCCTGTGCCCAGCAAGCAGCCTCGTCTTCTTTACCACGGCGAAAAAAAACGCGGAAACGACAAAATGCAGGTCGGCGAAATGCAGGTCAACGATAAGTAAGATCAACGGCCCTCAAACGTACCGCTGAGATCGACGGTCCTGAATGACCGAAGCTGCTGCGCCAGCTCCTTCACTTTCGCCATCGACTGCTGCCGCCACTTGCGCTGCTTCTCCTTGTCGTCACCCGCACTAAACGACGAACTCTTGCTACCCGCACCCTCTTCTTCCTCGTCACTATCCCCGCTACTGCCGATCCCGCCACGCGCTAGGAACCGCGACACTCCCCAGATTCCCGCTCCGACAGCCAATAGCATCGCGCCGATGCCTATCAACTCCGTGTCGATTTCCACGCCCGCGTTAGAAGCACTCCCGCGTCGCCTTCCTGACGCTTCTTGCACGGAAGAAGAGTATTGTCGTGACCGCCGAGCCGCGGACCGGCGGGTAGACGACGACGCGCCGCTTCCGCTTCCGCCATCGTCGCCAGACGCTCTAACGGTCACATTCGATGCGCCTCGAGACGCGGCTCGGAGGCTTGGGGTTACGACACGTGGCAGCTTAAGAGGCGACCAGAGAGGAGAAGGGGGTGTCCATGGGGAGGATGGACAGATGGGGAGGGGAGTGTGGGGAACAGAGTGAAGGAGGCGGGAACCGCGGTGGAGTGTGGTGGGATGCGGTGCTGCTGTGAGTGACTGCATTGCGACGAGGCCTGATATTGGGTAATGCGGAACTAGGAAAACGGGTAGTAATGGCAAGTTAATCGACAGACGACTGCTGTTTTACCACTAAGAACTCTGTAAAATGCTTAATGATTCTGCTACAATCGACCAGCGGTCAACGTTTAGTGACTGGCACGATTAGTATTTTTGGCTCCGACTGCGGAAATTAATCTTCTACACGTTCTAGACCAGACCTGACCCGCAAGGCCCAGGCTAAACAAACCCGGCAGGAGCAATTACGGAAATGAGACTCTTCAAGCAGGGGAAAGAAGTAGATCGGACCAGAATGCAGGGATCAAGAGCAACACTGACAACTATTTGAGGAATCTAGACCAGTATCCAGGATCAAGTGGCTAGTGGTATCAACATATGTTTTCGGCTCCAACCAGCATCATCGAGTGTAGATTCAACTTTGCGTAAGCATAAAGTGCACCGTCGAGGGGTGACGGCAAACCTTGTTCTCCTAACGAATCATCTTGTTGTACGCTGCAGCGCCTTCGTCATGCTTTACTGCTGACCTGTAAATACCGTACTCGCCTGGAAAATCTGGCGTGGAGCGCTAAGAATTTTTCAAGGTTGCGCTGTCATGGATAATGCTGCTCGTTGACTGGCTGACCATCTGTACACGTGGTCACAATCTCCAATGTCCCACCCATTGCCAGTCCGATTTTACAATTTGCGATATAAAAGCAATTCGCCCGTCTTGTAACAGGACAACGAATGTACAAGAGAATTAGTCCATATTCTTACCAACAAACAATGCCTCACATGACCATCTTCTCAGATCTCCATCTTGTCATCTGCACATGTGTAAATGTGACAGACAGAAAGCTCTGGCCCTCAATTAGGACGAACACCTTGGCAGAAACCTGAGTATCTACACTTCTTACACCGTTGTCCTCTCCGTACGTTGTCCTTCTAATCAGAGCCTGTGTCATTCCCCCCACATTCAGCTTGAACCTTGATAATTCCACATTCACCCCTCTACCCTTCACACGCTGATTCACTATAAACACACTTACTGTTCGGCTTCCCTTGTTGTAAAACGCAGCTACAGTATGTCGGCATTCACGTGGCACCGCCAAAGGGCGACTCCCTGGCCTTGCAAGGTCAGTAAACTGCTTAAACATCCAGAACCGTTTCAGTTTACTGGCAGGTTCTATCCTGCCTGAATATCCAGGCGGATAAGACCAATTCAACCGGAACAGCGACCACGATTCATTCGGGTCGAAAACCTGCCAGTAGACATACGCCGATGCTTCCAGAAAGTTCACTGATTCAATCACGTTCCGCATCATGTAGAGCGAAAGATCGTACGAGCTCCCGACCTTGTTCAGCGGCCCAGATTCAGATACCCATACTTCCTTCCCTAGCGACTTCGCAAGCACCTTCATTCTGGAGTAGGCCTTCTCAGCCGCAGAAACGCTCCCATTCCTTTCCATCAGCACCGGCAGTGTATAACCGTGAATGTTTATGCGATGAAGGTAATCTTTAGCAAAGAGCAGCGGTAACCAGATAGCGGTGAAGCCTGGATAACTGTCCAACCCCACCAGCTTTGTCTTGAGATTTCGCTTCCGCAGCAGTCGCTGCGTTCTGCGGATGATCCGGCTCATTTCAGCCACGTTGAAATTACACCCCTCCTGCCCCATCCCCTTTACCCAGTACCCCTCCAACGGCTCATTAAACGGCTCCAGTGTATCGAACTCGATATTCCCTAAAGACGGATCCGTTTTAAACCTTTCAACCACCTTCACCAAGTACTTCGCAAACCGTCCCTCGTATTCCGGCCGCAGATTCGTCTGAAACGCCTTCTTCCCTCCCGCAACGTCTTTGCTCTCAGTCATCCACCAGGGCGGGCTGTTGGAAAACGCCTCGAACACGTTCACCCCGCGGGCCTTGGCTCCCAGCAGCACCGCCTGCTGCCGCGAATCCGCCGTCCAGTTGAACCCCGCTGCCTGCGCCGGCCAGTACCCCGGCATGGCCCGCCAGCGCATCAGGGAATCGCTATATAGTTGAGGGCTGTGCTGTGGAACGGAGCCGCCGCCTATATTGAATCGCACTATATTGAGGTTGAGGCCCGAGGGGAGGAACATGAGGTCCAGCAGAGGTTCCATCGCCGCCCGGGGGAACCCGCCGATGTAGTTGCCCAGCCTGGGGGCGGAGGGGAGTAGGGGGAGAGGGGGGGGAGAGGGGAAGGAGGAATGGTGAATGGGGGAACCCGCCGATGTAGTTGCCCAGCCTGGGGGGGTGGAGAAAGGGGGAAATTGTGAGGAAGAAGAGGAAAGGGGGAGGGGAAAAGGGGACGGGAGAAATTGCCCGGAGGAAAAAGTAGGGAGGAAGGTCGGCAGGTGCCAACCGTGCGAATCATGTTGAATCATCCCTGTGCTTTTACTTTGCATTTCGCCATGGAGTTGCCAACAAAAGCATGCACACTTGTTACAATCAGTAGAATCACGTTCTTACCATGCGAGCGACGTCCCCCATCCCTTCCACCTCGTTCCGATTTGGCGTGGAGTAATCGTCACGTAAACCGGACCCTTTCTGCTCGAGCACACTCCGAACCGCTCCCATGCCGGCTCGAGCGTTGGCGCCGGCGCTCGCTTCCTGCCGCCCGCCCATTCAGGCTTTCGAGAATGCGCGGAGTCATCCCACACCAGGGGATAGCGCGATATATTCCGGTGGAAAACGGTTCCGAAACGAGAGGCTGTCGCAGTTGATTGTACGGAGGGTGACTGTACAGAGGGTGCTGGTGCGCCTGGTGCGTGTTCGTCAATCGAGGGGCGCAACCCCTGGATAAACTCTACCGTTTGTTCGAACACGGATGAGCCTTCCGTGACTGTAGTGAACGTTCTTGTTGAGAGCAGAACCATGACGTGAAGAAGAAATGCTTGTAGTTGTATCATGCGAGGCTGGAACGGTAATAATCCAGGATGGAGGCGACGTAAGACAACGGAGGGCGTTGTCAACGGCATGTTGACAGAGGAGGTAGTCAGAGGTTATTGAAGTTAACGAAATTATGTCATAAGGAAAGTATTACGCGGTCGGGACACACGGACAGCCCCAAGTCATGATAAAGCAATAAGGACGGGCACGCTAATAAGAGAGTCGCGTCGCGAGATGCGACAAGGCCCTAGCTACTAAGAGAATGGTTCGTGTTTTCAAGTCGAGGTGTGAGTGGTTTTTTTTTGCCGTCCAGGTTATACATCTATTGGGAGAAAGTGGTGCCGCTGGAAGCAATCCCTGAATGAACTGCAGTACGAGTTGTACAGCAATGTGCTTTTCGTTTCGTCAGTGTCGAGGTTCGAAATCGCCAAGGTTACTGACGTCGTCAATGTCGTTATCTTGACATGCTTAGAAGGCGGCTCGATCGTGGTGGAAGGAACATGTCTTGACTCCCATTTAGGGCGCGTGTCCTTATACAGTAAATTGCAAATTTCATAGTTTTTGTCGAACTTTTACCATTCGAGCCTAGGTCGACCTAGGCTCGACTTCATCGATTCAATTTGCTCGAGCCGCTGTTCCTCGCTCCCATGTTCTCTCATGGCACGCGAGTTCAGCCATCGAAATTCAAGTGTATACAGTAAACCCCGAGTCGCGCAAAATTTTCGTAGGTTACTCTGTAGGTCGGTGCAGTTCGTTACCGAATCCGGATTTGGTAACATATGACTAACAACCTCGTTACTGTCGCGAGACTCGTAGATTTTCGTGCGTGCGAGAAGAACACACGATTGGGAAATTTTGAACGTAAAAAGTCGAACGTCGGTCGACTCTAGTTCAGTGTCGAACACCTTTCACACATTTTTAACTAGAACACACGTTTGTTTAGCGAAACCTTTTGCGATTTTAACGAAACAAGTTACCATCTAAAGCTCGACCTTTTTTCGAACGTCTACACCAAAAGACACACGCCCTCAGCACTACGATGCGGAATTTGACTTCGCGGCGCGGCATAATATAGCCACTCACAAGAGCTTCGAAACATGGAATGTTTAATATGTACACTTGTATACCTACTGATTGTTAGCTTGTGATACATTGATTGTACACTAACAGAGCGGCATGGAGCTAACTGGATTGACATAGTTTGAGAACTTGTGAATTCTACCAGGCTAGGTGTTCACTGGTAGGTGCCGTGATTCGTTGTTTGCTGAATGTTGGAGTTAGGGAAGCGCATAACAAGATTACCCAGGAAATATCCACTCCACTCCATCATGGCATGTCAGTATTTATTTCATGTAGGTGTTCCCTACAGTATAGAATATTAAAGGGCTAGCAGAGTCTTCACCCTATGGCTCGTAATCACCATCTGAAGGGTCCCGGCACTTGCCCCACTGGCACTTCCTCGAGAAGCACGTCTTTGTTGGCTTGATGGTCATGTTTGCTGTAAACAGCTGGCAGCTCAGACCCGAAAAGGTGTAGTAGAGGCAGTTCGCGTCCCCGATACAAGACCCTTCGCACTGATCCAGCTTATTGGTGAAAAAGAGATTACCATCCATGATAACCAATTGCTCGTTCTTGTGCACCTCGCACTCAACTGCATTTCACAAGTACAAAACAGAAAGGAAATGATAAATTGACAATTGCAGAAGCCGCAAGGGAAAAAAGCACAATTTTCCTGGAGTGACAACAGGAATGACAGGGAAGAGGCAAATGTCAGGTATGCTCGAGCAGAGACAAATGACTTACTTTTAGGAGGGGCGGGAGGCGGAGTAGGAGGCTTCGGTTGTTTCGGACTCTTAGGCGACTTGGGCTTCTTAGGACTCTTCGGGCTCTTCGTGACATTTGTCTCTGCCGGCTTTGGTGGGGACTTGGGCTTGCTCGGACTCTTGCTGGGGCTCTTATCGGGGCTCTTGTTGGCAGGGCTCTTGTTGGGGCTCTTATCGGGGTTGGTGTTGGGGCTCTTATTGGGACTCTTGGCAGGACTCTTATCGGGGCTTTTGCCAGGACTCTTAGTCGGGCTCGCGTTCGGGCTCTTGTTAGGGCTCTTCTTTGGGCTCTTCTGCGTTGATCCTCCCTGAACCGTAGGCGGGCTCTTGGCCTTCGGTTGGCTTTTCGGTTGAGACGTGCCCGTGCTGCCGCCGCTGCCGCCCGAGTTCTTACTGTTACCGCTGCTATCCTTGGGCGGGCTCGGTGTCGCTTTCTTTTTCTTCTTAGGGGATACCGGAGACGGCGACGGGCTTGCCTGGGCGGTGGTTTTCTTGGTAAGTCGGCGCCTCAGTAGGGCGAATTCGCGGCCGTGTAGCTGCCAGAGAGTGCCTGATGGGGGGGTTTTGGTGAGAAGGGTGAAAACACGAATGGATAAAGGGACGAGATGAAAGAGGAGGGCGACGAAGGGGTTGCCTGCGCGACGTTCGTGTGCGAAGCCGACGCCCCAGCAGGGCGAATTCGGGGCCGTGTTGCTGCCTAAGCGCGTCTGACAGGGGATGAGTGACGAGAAAGAATGTACAAGGGAATGAGGAGAGAGGTGAAAGCGCCGAAGGGTTTTCCTAGGCGGCCGTTTGTGTGCGTAAGGTGGCGCCTCAGGAGGGCGCGTTCGCGACCGTGTTACCGCCAATTTGCATTTGATAGGGGATGAAAAGGATTCGCTGAGAATAGAGATATGATTTGGCGCTGAAGGGAATTTCGGGAGGTAGTGGTCGGTTTCAACTTGCGCCTCAGGAGGCTGAATAAGGTGCCATAATGCTGCGAAGGCCACGTGAAATAAGAGTGCTTCTGAGACGTTTCAAAAAAAAAATATTCCAGGAAGCTGAATTCGGTGCAGTATTGCTACGAAAACGCTTTTGTTGCGGGGAGTCCTTGAATGGCGATCAGGGGAATATCTGGAAGAAGTACACAAATATGCCTTCTACGACTGAATTCCTTGGGGGCACACCTTCATCGGACGAGAACGGTTGGATTGCCGTGTCCTCTAACCGTGCGGCTGGGATCGACGCAAGCAGCAGCAGAGGTACGGCCCACAGGAGCAGATGAAATGATCCTTTAGCCATTGCCACGTGGGCGACAAAAGGGCTTCCTCCAACCAGCTGCGATCTGCACTCCGGCGTATTGGTAAGTGCTTCTAGGTGTGGCTCCGAATGTTTTGACTAGAGTGGAAAACGCATGACTATCGCTGGGCTGCAGTAGTAAAGAACGCGAGCGTCTTTATCAGTTGTAAAACTGTGCGCAGAGAAGAGTATGTGAATAAGTGTGAAACGTTGTGGGGTAAAGATGGCGAACAAGGCCGCAACTTCACTTCCTTCTGTGACTCAAAGAGCGCCTATTGAGATTCGCGATCACTGACCTACGAGCTTTGTCTATCGCGCAAAATGGGATGCTAGCCGAAAGGACGACTTAGTATGGAATGTGTTGGCCATTCGACTTGCTACGCGAGCCGACAAATTTCCATACAGTTTCCTCGAGTCGTGGCTATCAAGTGCGTGTCACGATGCTGGGCAACCGACAACGTCGGCAGCCAGTGACGTCGGCTGCGACACTTGCGGAAGCACAAGCGTGGGATCGTAAGGCGGGGTGGGCTGTGACGGCGGGTGTGTGGTGAAAAAGAATATGCCCCGAAGCAGCCCTGTACACACAAAGCTGTGTTTCCCCGAAGAATTCGAGGGGGCTTGACGGAGATGGGAAAGGCAGAGGTGAAGTGGGATTTCTTGGGTGGGTGGGTTGTTCTGGCGGAGAAATGTTGCAAATTGGGTGCCGACATCTCGAAGCGCGTCGGAGCGAGCCGACGCGCGGAGGTTTTTGAGGAGGTTGGTTTGAGGGGCGGACGTGCCATGTAGCTCCATGGAAGAGTTCGGACAGCCGTCGATCTGAACACGGATGTTTGACGTGTGAATGGAATGGAGGCATTTATTTCGCGGGCAAATAAAATTTCACATTTCAATTTTGAAAGTGCTGATAACACTCTTGCTGTACAAGTACGAATACGGTTGCCAATCTCAATACGTATGATCGTATGGATGCAATAAGTAATTTTGTTCATCATGCTAGGAAATTCCCGGATAATCAGTATTGTATTATCATTAATTGGTGACAATCACAATACGAATGTAGTAGGTTAGAAATCCAGCATGCTTACTTCACTAAATCAACTAGTGCCAGCCTTTCTGGCGTCACACAAGTACTACACCATACCTAAAAAGTGCAGTCGAATAGCTTTGTAACGACTCAACTGTACATTCAGCTTGACAGCAACTCAGTGATACACTCTGAGAGGCCTCTGTAGGACGTTGTCCCTCCCCCTCTCTCACTGACAGTCTGCACCATGCTGTCAACAAATGGTCGCAAGCTCAACAGGGTACACCTCATATCACTCTCATTCCTGCCCTCTCCATTGCTGAAAGTAGGCATTCTCCCTGGCACTGAAAGCGTCCCTTGCTGCTCCTCAGCTCGCCTTTTCCTCCCAAAAGTTTGCAAAAACTGCCATATTCTAAGAGGATTCCTCAGTGCCCATGGCCTGAGCACAGAGCATGGCAATCTGCCAAATCGGTCAGCAGGCAGGGAGAGGAGTGTGGAGACGAGGGGAGCAGACGGGGTTGCATGCAGCAGCAGCAACTCCAGGCCTGCAAGTGCCTCACAACTTGGGCCTTCCCATGTAATGTGTCTGGCAGGAGAGGAAGCAGACTTGCTGCCTGGAGCGCTGCAGTGATGAGCATCACCTTCAGCAGACAGATTGCTCCTGGCAGCAGCAGCAGCAGCAGCAGTGGCGGCGGCAGCAGCGGCACTAGCCCGTAGCAGAAGCAACGGAAGAGACACCTCACTCTCTTCTCCTGCAAGCCCTTTTTTGGTGTGAATCCAACCAGCAGCCTCAGCAGCTGCCAACTGCCATAACCACTGCTGCTCCTGGCTGTCCCAGGACCAACTGTCTCCAATTAGTGGCATCCACAAATCCTCCTGCTGTTGCTGCTGCTCTCGCTGCTCTTGCTGCTCTTGCCGCAGCTTCTGCAGCTTCTGTTCCAGCTCTTGATCTACCTCATCCTCCTCCTCTAGCTCCTGATCTTCCTCCTGCTTCTGCTCTTCCTCCTGCTTCTGCTCTTCCTCCCGCTTTTGCTGTTCCTCACGCTTCTGATCTTCCTTCCGCTTCCGCTCTTCCTCTCGCTTCTGCTCTTCCTCCCGCTTCTGCTTCTGGATTGCTTCCCACGCCTCCTTATCCTCCTTTTCCTGTATAGATGACCACTTTCTCCTGAACAACGAGATCTCCCCCAAGAGAATCGCAGATTGCAGAGCAGCAATGGCGGGCGGATCAGCAGCAGACAGCAGCAGGTGCAGCAGGGGAGGGTGGCCGGACATGGCATGGGGCAGCAGGCGCAGGACTTGGTGGGAGACACATTGAAAGAGGAGGTTTGAGCCGTCCAATAGGATCCACCGCTGCAAGTCCACGTGGACTGCTGATGCCAGCAGATTCTGATGGCTGGGATGAGTGACGTGGGAACGATAATGATGGTGGTGATGGCGGTGATGGTGATGGTGGTGGTGGCGGTGAAGGGAGAGGGGGTGTGATGCAGCAAGGGGACGCAACACGCCGTTGCACCTTGCTGTCTCTGTCTCTGCTTTGGTCTCCAATGCAGCTCCTCCTTCTCCTGCTGCTGCTCCTGCCCCTCCTGATTTGCCTGCTGCTCGTGCTGACGGAGCCTGGTTGCCTTTCTTTCCCTTGCCCATCAATCTGCCCTCACGCCCATCCTCCCCATCTCCACCTCCATCTTTCTCCTCACCTCTTCCCTCATCTCTCCCTTCATCCCTCCCTTCACCCCTCCTCCTCCCTCGCATCCTCCTCCCCATTGCTCCCTTCCTCATCTCGCCCCCAGCACAGCCCAACCAGCCGCTCATACAGACCAAAAACCACCTCTGCTCGCACCCCCGTGCCTCCATCCGCCAAGCCTTCCTTCCCCCCCTGCTGCCCCAAACATTCCGCCGCTGGCTTTTCCCTAGAGCCCCCTCGCTGCCTACCACTCTCTTCTCTGCCAGAGGCAAATTCCGGACCAGGTTGTGTATCCTCCCTGTCATTCGTTACCCTGGCGACCCCTCGCTGCCTCCCACTCTCTTCTCTGCCAGAGGCAACTTCCAGACCAGGTGGTGTGTCCTCGCTCTCATTCCTTACCCTGGCTGCTGCTGCTGCTGCAAGAGCATCGGCCGCACTCAGTTGCTCTTTCTCCGCTGCTGCTGCACCCACGCAGAGCAGCCAGGCAGTAACGGGCTTGCCCATGTGATGCCACGATATAAGCAGCTCCTCTACTGGCAGCAAGAAGTTCAAGTCGCCCCCGCCATATTCACCCTTTTTCTTGTCACTCCCCTCACCGTCCTGCTCCTCCTCCCCACCTTCTTTCCCTTTTCCACTCCCCTGGCCCTCCTCCCCTCCTGTAAGGTCCATCGCATTCGCCTCTTCTCTCTGCTCCCCCTTATTCTCTTCCCCTTTCTCCCCACTACCCACCCTCCACTCTCGCAGCAACTCATTCTGCAACACATACTCGTGCAGAACCATCAACGTCGAGGTCCAGCTTAATAACGCTGCGCCTTCAAACGGGTATGGAGTTCCAGCAACTGCACCAGCAGCTACACCGTTCCCAGCTGCACCGTCCTCAGAAGCACCCCTGCCAGAAGCCTCCTTCCCGGTAGAAGAACCGTTTCCAGAAGCACCATCCCCAGAAGCACCATCCCCAGACGCACCCCTGCCAGGCCCGGTAGAAGAATCATTTACAGAAGCACCATCCCCAGTGATATCGTCCCTCGAAACACCTTCCGTGGCAGGAAGAGGGGGTAGCGACAGCAGCAGCTCGTTCAACCGATTAGGAGACAGGGAGGCTAAGGACGGGAACAGAGGGAAGCCTACTTTGGCGAGACATTGGGAAACCCTAGTGGAAATCAGCGCCCGTTCCTTCCTACTTAACCTGCGTTCCCTAAACCGAGGAAACCTAAAAGTGTCTGATTTGACTGTGCCGTCAGCTTCAGAAACCTTGGGGTCTCTAGCTAAAAACATGGCTGATAGCCTAGCTACCTTTGCAGGTGTGTCTTCTGCGCTGCTATTCAACCCCTCTGGTGATGCTTCGGGAAGGGATTCTGAACCTGATCCTGCTGCTACGGCTGTCGATACGCCTGCTGCTGCTTTATCTACGGACGCTGCTACGCGCGCTCTCTTCGACCTAACTCCCTTGACTCCCCGTCGGCTGCTGCTGTTGCTGTCGTTCCTAGCCGCTTCTGCTGCTCCTTCGGCTCCTACTTCCCCGGCTGCTGCTGCAGCTTCTGCTGCTGCCGCCGTTGATTCCTCCTCCTTCCTGTTATCCTCGCAAGCATCGCTCGCCGTCTCCCCCTCTGTAGTGCCCCTTTCTGTAGTCACATCCGAGTCGACGCTCCTGTCAGATCGTTCCCCATCCAACCCCGCGACTTCCTCATGCTGTTGCTCCTCTCTCACCACATGCCGCCCCTCCCTCGTCCTCCCTGCCGTCCGACCAGCTTCCCCTTTGCCCTCCTTTTCCTTCTCCTGCCCGCCCTCCAGTTCCCCGTGCAAATTCCCTTGCGCCTTGCCCTCAGCTTCCCGCTCGCACTCGCCTCTTAAAGCCACCAAGAACGCCTTGAACCCTTCGATGACCTTCGCCCCGTCCCCTGCAGCCGCAGCTTCTTCCATTCCCCTTACCATTCCCTCTATAGCCTTCATTTCCTCGTCCATACCCTCTCGCTCCTCGCTCTGCTCTCCTTTTTCTTCCTCCTCAACAACCTCCCCTCCCTCTACCTCCCCAGCCTCCACCTCCCCTCTCTCCATCGCCTCCTCCTCCCCCTCTTCATTCTCCTCCCTCTTCCTCTTCCGCTCTCTTTTACCTCTCCCTCCCTCCGCCATCTCACCCTCCCCTCCGCCGCGCTCCCCTGATTCCATCTCTGCTCCTTCCGCGGACTTCCCTCGTTTCTCCGCTCCGCCTGGGCCTTTTCCGCCAACCTGGTCTTCCCCTGCAGCGCTAGCTTCCCCCATTTCCGCATCTTCCCCACCCCTAGCGGCATCGGTGGACCCACTTGCGTCCACCGCGCCCTTCCCGGCGGCGGCGGAGGCAACAGAACCACCCACAGGACGGCTTGTGCCAACGCCTGCTGCGCCTCCTTCCCCCGTTTCCGCCACCTGCCCTTCCTTCCCCCGCTGCTCCTCCGCCGCCCTTATCCCCGCTCCGCCGCCAACAATATTCCCCATGCTGTCCCTCTCCGCTGCCAAATGCGGGGGAGACGGACTTGGGGACTTCGCCAAAGCCCCACTCCCTCGCGCTTGCCCCCCTCTTCCCCCTGCCCCTCCCGCTCCCCCGGGTATTACCGCCGCTGCAGCTCTTTCCGCGTGGTGCGGGTCATGCAGGGGCGAGGGGGGTAAGTACCGATGGGGAGACGCGTCGAGCCGGCAATACGCGGGAAAAAGCGTCTGGAGCCGCTCGCGAAGCTTCGTCGGAATGAACCCGCTTGTGGCTAGCGGCTCGAGACTAGGCACGACTCCCTTCCCGACCAGAATGTCGACCGAGGCGGATATCCCGCGGAGAATTAAGTCTCTGTGCGCCACGTCGTAGTGGTCTAGGAGGAGGAAGAGGAATTCCAGGAGGGAGTTGGTCATAATGGCGTACTTGGGGAGGGAATGGACCATGCACAGCATCGCGGGTTCGATGTTCATGATGTTGTCGGTCTTGGGCATGAAGAAGAGCCAATCGTAGAAGAGCGCCAGCTTGGCATTTGCCTCCATGTGGCAGCTTCTGCAGCATTTGAGGAGCCAGCCGACAATCGCCCACCGTGGCACCACGTCGGACTGCAGCACCTGATTGGTCGGATGCACCGAGCAGCAGACAAAACGAATCAAATCCGCCACGAGGGATTCGCTCTCCGGGGCGGCGAGAAACCGGGTGGCGAACCACGTCTGGTAGCGCCGCTGGTGGCCCATGCGCACGTGTGCTAGAAGAAAGCGAAGCTGCGACTCCATTTCGGGCGTAACTCGCGACGTGATGAAACGCGTCGGCGTCCGCACGACGTACAGCTGAGCTAAATCGGAAAACCCGGGCGCGCCCATAGTCTCCGGTCTATGAACCAAATCCCTCCAAATCGGCTCGAACTCCGGAATCAGCGCTACATCCTGCAGCAGGCGCACTAAGTCGCGACCAATCACCAGACAATCCTGAAACCGCTCCCTAATCAGCTGCGTGCAAAATGCGACCTCCTGCTGCTTCAGCTCTACTACGGCCGGCGCCTTACTAACCGCATGGTCAGGCAGAAGCCTAAGAAACGTGTATAACGAGAGCGCGAGAAGACTCGGGAGAGTGTAAAGCCACTGCGTGTTGGTACGGAGGACGTCGAGTAGTTGCCGAGCTAGCCACACGTTTCCCACGCTAAGATCGCCGCCAGAGACCTGCCGGAAGAGGCAGAGAAAGAGCGTTTCTGCTTCCTGAACGGCTTGCTGAACCAACTGCCGGAGGATCCAAATGACTTGCGAGCGCACGTGGTCCTGAAGCTTACTCCACTTGTCGCTCGCTAATCGCTGAAGCGTCGCTAGAAGCGACGTATGATGATCGCGCGTCACGGAGCACAGGATTCCGAACAGTCGCACCGCCGCGGCCGGAACCGTGTGCGACGACGGCGACGGAGGAGGTCCGGTTTTGTGCGACGCGGTGAGGATCGCGTAGAGGAGACCGTTGACCACGTCGGCATGCTGTTGCGCCCCTTCCGATACCATTTCCTGCAACTGACTGTGCACGTCGCCTTCGCTGTCCGAAGCGAGAAGCGGCTTGAGGCGAGCGTGGAGCGATTGGAGGGCCAGGTCCAGGTCATCTGCCGCCTCGAAGGCCACGTGGCTCAGAAGCCGCGAATCAGCACGTGGCACGTGGACATGAACATTCGCGTGGGAATCTCCGCGCGATCCGCCGACAGAGCCGCGAGGCTCAATAGCGACTGGTGCTCCAATCGGCATAGTGGCAGAAGCTACTTTTTAAGAAATAGGGTTTGGATGTCAAATTAGTAAGTCAGCTGAGCGGTACGTTCATCGTAGCTTCCATCCGAGTTTCAGGAATTCGCACGTGTGTGCGCTTGGTCGAAGCGCAAACCCTAATCTGGGGCCGAATCGCGGGAATTGGTTTTGGTCAAGCAAGGGGGCTTGAACATTGCTGGAAATTGTTCCAGCGGCTAAGTATGGAAGAGGAGGGCCTGGGTTGCCAGGAATTGAGTTGGAGGGAGGGAAGAGCCCCTGAAAAGAGGAGAGCTGCTGAGGCCAAGCCATCCGGAAAGAAGGCCGATTCTGAAAATGAAGAATGGGAGCTGATGAATGAATGGGGGAAAATCGCCTGGTATTTATAGTTGGGCTGGCTGAGCTGAGGGGGTTGAGACGCGGTTCCAGCCAAGCCTGTGTCACACGCACGGGATTCCCGGGCCAGCAGGTAGTGAGCTTCGGTGACAAGCTGTTTTTACATGAAGAATATTGGAGCTAGGAACGTTTCGCTCATTGGATATTGATGTTATAGAATAGAAGAACCTCCAGGTTTTTGGCAGGTGTCAGACATCCGAACGCGCCCTTCCGACCAGATTCGTCAGCAAATTTTCTTGCGAAATGCACGGATGGATGGCATGCCAGGTCGGCTCGCGGGTCACAAGCTGGCCTTCATCCATTCAGCTTCATTCCCGCCGCCAGGGTCCAAGTCCATCCAATCTGCTTTCGCCAAGGGCGATCGCGCTTCACGTGTAGTCAATCTTGGGATTTGTGTATGGCCGAGTTTTTTTTACATAAAGTAAGAGATCGAAAGCCAACAGCGAAGCTATACATCTTTTTAACGAAGCATCGCATAGAAGCGACATTCAGCGGCTCTTGGAAGTCATGAGAGGGTGTCTGCCTCCCTTTGTTAATTTCCAGTGTGTTTCTGCTCACCAAACTACCCTCCTAAATTACGGTCTTGTCTCCCTCACCTCCATTCCATTCCATTTGTCCCCACCTGGATCCTAGAATTAGGACAGGGAAAAAGGGATAACACGAATTTAAATACGGTATGGAAATATCTTCGCTGAATGCGGGGATGCCCCTCCACGCTGGGAAACGCCCTGGGCGCGGAGTTTTCCCTTCCGCCACATGGAAAAGCGGCGGAGATCCCCAAGGCCCGTTTGCAACTGCAAGAAGTTCCTGACCAACCAGTCTCAGCAGCCCAGCCAGTCACAGCAATCAACACGACCCCACCAAACCGTTCTGAATAACGTATAATCTTGACTGTGAACGTAAGTAACCTTTTACAACCGAAGCGATTTGAATTTTGCGTTTGGATTTCCAGATTGTAACCTGGAGCCATCAAGGTTTCGTGTGGAGGTGAAGGGATTTCAACTGAACCATTTTATGGCTGTTGCAAAGTTGAACAGATTTCCACATTGCCTCTATATTCCGCAAAGATCGGAACTCGGAGAGATACTAAGTACGAGAAAGTAGGTCTTTCTTGAGCGAAAGTGAACTATTGCGTTTGGAGTGTCAACGAGCACAGCTAGTATAGAGCTAAGGGGCAGAATCTTTCACGTAGGCACACTGCGAATGAGCAGTTTCCGACATATTTTTGCAGCCTGCAACGAGCATTATCATGGCTACATGTCTCATAAAAGCTAGGCTCTTGCTTGCTCTTTAACTTATGTCTGTCCATGCCAGATAAAGCGGGTGGTATTTCGTTTCTTCTCAACTATTTCGAGCATTGCAGAAGGCGTTAGTTGACAGGCCAGCCGTTTGTTCGGAAACTTTTTTAGGTCCGTCCGAATCTAAGCGACTCAAGGTTGACTAGACTGCGCTCAGAAAGTAGCGAACAAGGACTCGAAACCGGTGCTTCTCTCGTCGGTGCTTCGCTGGACGGTGCGTCATTCGCCTTCTTTCAGAGGCCGGCCTTGGTTCAGCGCCATCATGTCGCTCGACGGTGATGTAAGCGCACTGTTTTCTGGTGAAGTGTTTCATTCTTCGTCTTTGATTGCACACTAGTTTTGAGATGTCTCTATGTCGAGATTCGAGTCGTCTCAAAAATTGATAGTTCTTCATTCGCCTGCTTTCGGTGGCCGGCATTCGGTTCAGCGCCATTATGTCGCTTGATGGTGATGCATGAGCAGTGTTTTCAGGGGAACGTTTCATCTCTCTTGTATTGCAACGAATTTCTTTTTCTTCCTTCAATGTTCACATGCTGCAAACGACCTTTTCGGCACATGTCGCCTGCTTTCCCCTCCTTGAGTGCGCGTTCATTAGTTTATATCGCTTCTCACATGATGTCGAGATTTTGATGCCTCGTCACTCCGCCATGGCACCATGTTGCTCGGAGAGCTCGCATTAGAGCATAAGCTCAGCGCAACGCGTCTCAGCTCAACTCAACCGAGCAAAGTCTCGGCGAACCCCAGTCCCTCCTCCTCCCTGACCCTCAGCACCCAGCATTCCCTCTCTCGCATGCACCTCCCGCTCCCTCGCATATCACTCTTATTGAGGCGCCTCAAAACTATAATCCTGCTTTTGACTTCGACTGCGCGTCGTCTGTGTCTCGTCTGCGTGTTCTTGGTCCGTTTTGGGGACAGGGTCAGCAGCTACAGGGAATTCTGTAGCTATACATAAATGTCTCGCGTAATGCTTCTGCTGTATCCCTTCATTTGCTCTTTTTCTTCCGCGTGTCTTTCTGCTGCTTCTCTCTTCAGCCCAAGTACGGAGGAGCAAGCTCAGCGGCAGCAGGAGAGCCATCCGACTGGAAGGAGAAACACACAGATTACTACGCCAATGAGCCTCCTGCCGACGATCAAGGTACCACTACTGCTATGCCTCCCTTTCCCCCTTAACTGAACCGAGGCGAGTTGATATCCTCGTTTCTGTGAGCCTCCAGCAGACAAGTACCCGGATATCTACGCCAACGAACCCCCTGCTGACGATCAAGGTACTACCAACGAGTGCTCTTAACTCTGCTTTTATGTGTATAAAATCCACGCAGATTGCTCTTCCAGCCAGCTTCCAGCAGACAGCTACCTGATATCTACTCCAATTGACGATTAAGGCAGCACCACTGCTCGGCTCCTCCTTCCTGTCATCAATAGTTCCTTATTCCTCACGTTTTCGTGGTCTCCTCCCTCAACACCCATCCACTTCCTCCTCCCGTCGTGTATTCCCAGTAACAGTATAACCATTTTACTTACACTCTCTTAGATTGTATATCTCAGTCTTACCCTGTGCGCCTGTTGGCTTTTTTCCTGCAGCAGATCTGAATGCGAGTGCCATCTCACTAGAGGGCACGGTGCAAGTGGTGAAGGAGAACATGTGGTACATTGGCGATGGTAAGAACAACGTGGGATGGTTTTCCCTTGCATCTTCTCCCTCCTCCCTTCACATCTTCTCCCTTCCTCCCCTTGCTTTCCTCCCCCTCCACCTCCACCCTCTACACCCACTCACTTCCGCCCATCCTCTCCCCTCCTCCCTTCACGCCCTCTCCACTCGCCCCCTTTCATCGTCTCCTTATAGAAGCCTATGGTTTTTATGAGCGCCCCTCCCTTTCTCCCCTCCTCTCACCTTCTGAACTCTCCTTTTTGTTCCATATCGTCCCCTGCTTCCACCTCCCGGACCCGCTTTCTGTTCCCATCCCATGCAGCTGCGTTGAAAAGCGTTGCTGAAGTACTCTACGGGTTCGGAATCAGCCCAACAATACTCGGATACACGTAAGCAAGCACCTCTTTAAACTCAAGGCCTGCCCCAGCGGTCCCATGTAATCCCCATTTGAGAGTTACGATAAAGCCACTCAACCGCGTTCCCTTATCCCCACCTTGTTTGCTTACCATCCCCGTGTTTCTCTATTCCCACCTTGTTTTCTCACCATCCCCTCGTTCCCTTATTTCCGCACTCCACCCTCTCTCCCCGCACACTTCACTCACCCTGCGGCGCTCGCAACATGGAAGGGGATCTGTTAGAGGAGGACGAGGAGGAGGAGTATTGCTCAGCCAGCAGTGCAGCGAAATGAGGTGGTGGCCAAAACGTTTCCCCCCTCCATCTCCCCTCACATCCATCTCCCCTCTCCCTTCTCATCCGTTTTGCCCAACACATACCCCACTCATGCCGCTCACAACAGGGAGGAGGAGCTCTTAGAGGAGGATGAGGAGGAGGAGTATGACTTTGCCATTGCGCAGCTGACAGTGCAGCGGGTTGAAGTGGTAGCCAAGACGTCAACTCCCCTCCGCTGCTCCATCTTCCCTCTCTCTTCTGTTTCGCCCCGCCTGCTGAACAACGTGTACCAAGCAGGGAAGAAGAGCACTCGGAGGAGGATGAGGAGGAGGAGTATGACTTTGCCGTTGCGCAGCTGACAGTGCAGCGGGATGAAATGGTGGCCAAGACCCCTCTCCTGTCTCCCCACTCCCTCATTCCCCCTTGCTCACTTCCATCGCCACCATCATTCCTGCAGGGAGGAGGAGCTGTTAGAGGAGGACGAGGAGGAGGAGTATGACATTGCGCAGCCGGCCGTCCAGAGGGACGAGGTGGTGGTTAAGACAGTGTTGCTCTATCTCCCCTCTCTCTCCACTCCCTCTATCAACAGGGAAGAAGAGCTGTTAGAGGAGGACGAGGAGGAGGAGTATGACATTGCGCAGCCGGCCGTCCAGAGGGACGAGGTGGTGGTTAAGACAGTGTTGCTCTATCTCCCCTCTCTCTCCACTCCCTCTATCAACAGGGAAGAAGAGCTGTTAGAGGAGGACGAGGAGGAGGAGTATGACATTGCGCAGCCGGCCGTCCAGAGGGACGAGGTGGTGGTTAAGACAGTGTTGCTCTATCTCCCCTCTCTCTCCACTCCCTCTATCAACAGGGAAGAAGAGCTGTTAGAGGAGGACGAGGAGGAGTATGACATCACACAGCCGACCGTCCAAAGGGATGAAGTGGTGGTCAAGACGTCGACCCCTCTCCTGTCTCCCCACTCCCTCATTCCCCACTCCCCACTCCCTCATTCGCCCCCTGTCGTCCTTGGCAGGGAAGAAGAGCTCCTAGAGGAGGACGACGAGGAGTATGACATTGCTCAGCCGTCGGTCCAGAGGGACGAGGTGGTGGCCAAGACGTCGTTTGCGATGCGCAGTGAGGAGAACATGCAGCGCCGCAAGACAGAGGAGCCTGCCCCGCCTGTGGATGAGGCAGAGGAGGTTTACATGGACCAAGGGGCTGGTGAGTGTGGGTGGGGTGGCGGATGATTGGGCTGTGGTTGGGTGCGGTTGGGCTGTTTTTGGGGTGTGGTTCAGGTGTGATTGGGGTGTGGTTCGGGTGTGATTGGGTTGTGGGTTTGAAGTGCTTGGGGCATGAGTGGTGGTGGCGAAGACGTCGTTTGCGATGCGCAGTGAGGAGAACATGCAGCGTCGCAAGACAGAGGAGGCGACCCCGCCTGTGGACGAGGCAGAGGAGGTTTACATGGACCAAGGGGCTGGTGAGATGATGCCAGTGGGTAAGATTGAGGGGGGTTGAAGGTTTTTGTCGAGCGGGTAAGAATGTTGCGCGGGGCGTTTGAAGCGAAGGAGAAATAACAGGGATTGTTTGGGTGGATGGAGAGATGGAGAATGGATAGGGGAGCCGAAGCATATGTCTCTGCTGTACTTCATTGGTACTAGAGTGTACCATACTGCTGCTTATGATATTTGTCGTGCCGCCTTGTGCAGATGGTTGGGGAGGTGAGGAAGACTACATTGAATTTGTGGAGGACAAGAAGGATAAGTAATAAAAAATGGGCATGCCCTTGAGAAATGTATTCTGACAACTTCATAACATTTTCCTGGGGTGGGTGTCAAGTAAGTGACGTTACTTTGAAATTCGGTTGCAAATCTATACTTGTACATGACACTACATGATTATTCAAGTGTTTGTTATCTTTGTGATGGACCAACGATCGCCCTGATTTAGGGTGCATCCCTGAGTTGGTGGCAAGGCAACTGTTGGTGGCAAGCGCATTTTCCGGCCCACTGAATTTTTGGGTACACTTGCCACCAACTCGATGTGAACAGTTGCCCTGCCACGAACCAGGGATGCACCCTTAAGCACCGACAGGGTGCTTCCCTGGCACCCTCGGCTTCCCAAAGCATCAACGAAGAGGAACCTTTTGTCCGAGCCACCACCCTTCAGCCAATGAAGAGGAACCCAAACTCGTCAAAACTAGGTTCCAGCACCTCGAGTTCTGCTTCGGTCTCATCAAACGCGCCCGAGCCTGCATTATCATCGCAAAATCATACGCCAGAGCTAGTTTGGCTGGTCTGGTAAAGCGCCTGTCCCTTGGAAATACCTTCTGCTCCGCCCCGATTTCCATTTTCAAGGGCCACCTGCGGCAATATTTACGCGGACCCACATCTTCTACAAGTGATGGTTTTTTTTTCCAAAGGCTTGCTGAAGTTTTGCTTTTCTTTTCAGAATCCACCTTTCCATTTTGATAGTACATTTGACTACTTCCTCGTGCTGTTCCTGCTGGCTGTTTCCATAGCGTATATTACGTGCGACATCCGTGTATTACGTGTGGCATCCGTGTATTTGCTTCGACTTACTACATTTCGCGCGAATCTCACGCTGAAGTCGCCAATCAAGCGGGAATTTCCCCTTCTCGGTAGCACGACTTCCAACTGCTTGTTTTCCTTTGTCAGCATTGGCCATGCCAGGCGCCGCTTCTCGAATCCCAGCACCTTCAAACACTGAAATTCTCGCTCCCCCGTCCAGTCTTCTCCCGACTCATCACTACCGCGCATTACAAATCCAGCAGCTCCCGCGTGGTTCCGCAAGTGCATGTTTCACTCCAAAATGGCACGGATTCGACGGGACGGGACAGCGAGAATCCCCTGGCTCCGCAGAAAACCACGAACTGAGTTACTCCAGGGGGATATTCGCCGGATTTTACCGACACGGAATCTGCGTCAGAAGTATAGGCGCAGAGGGTTTGGAACGGTTTCGAGATAAGGAGCCGTATGGATCGTTCGGAGGCTCTTATTTGGACCGGAGACGAGTCAGAGTCAGTGCATCGTGGAGAAGAAGGGAGTTAGAAGAGATTTTGATCCAACGGCCACGACATTCTCAGGGGATAGCAGGAGGTGCCATTCAACGGCCAGGATTAACTCTGGAGCTAGTCGGAGGTGCACGAGGGAGACGAGGTGCTGGGATTGTTCCTGCAGCGACGGCCAATGCTGACGTGGCGTCTGGAACAGGGAGGGAAAAGGCAGGTCGCGACGCGATCCGGCGTGGCATGCAGCTGTTTATCGAGGTAGCGAATTGTTCTCTTCGGAGATCCGATTTTTGTTCGTTCCTCATGTCCATCTGGATTCCAATCTCCCTTGCTCGTCCTCTCTCTGTTGATTCTGTATCATGGCATCGCAACACTTGGCTCAATCTTGTTGTGTCGTGGTACGGCATGGCATGATACAACATGGTATGACATGGCTTCACATAACATGGAATGCCATGGCATGCGATAACATGGCATGGCAAGTCATAACTATCATGGCCCTGCATGGTATGGTACAACGTGGCATGGCATGGTCCAAACTGGCATGGCATGATACAACATGGCATGGCATGATACAACATGTCATGGCATGATACAACATGGCATGGCATGGCACGGCATCACATAACATGATTGCAGAATGAGGTGGAGGCGTCCCTGAATGAATTCGAGGCCGCATTGGAGCTCGACCCAGCCCAGATCCCCTGTGAGTAACCAGTTTGTGAGCTGACTCAAACAGAACGTTGCATGGCGTCTCATGCCATGGGGGCAGAACGAGGTGGAGGCGTCCCTGAATGAATTCGAGGCCGCATTGGAGCTCGGCCCTGCTCAGATTCCCTGTAAGTTACTGATACTTGGCTCAAAGCGTGGCATGGCATCAACCATTACATGGGAGCAGAACGAGGTGGAGGTGTCCCTAGCTGAATTTGAGGCTGCATTGGAGCTCGACCCTGCTCAGATTCCCTGTAAGCGAGCGTCCCCTGAAAAGCGTTCTGACTTTTGAGTCAACTCAAGCACCACTAAGCTTAATCTAAGCCTGCGTTGCAGCCCGGCCACTTTCACATTCCCGATAAGCAGCTTCTGAGGAGTCCCCGGGCTTCATGAGAAAAATCATACTCCTTGCGTCACGTATTAGGCCATTCGACTTTGAGACGTCTTAAGAACTTGATCAAGATGAGGCTCTCTTGTGTGCTTGTTGTACTGATAAGGCACAGCTTTCCCCTTTCCGTGCCATCCATCTCCGAGCAGATTTATGGCAGAGAGGTCTTTCACTCTTCTACCTCAACAGGTCTGTTGGATTTCCTGTGTGGGGTTGAAGTGTGCTGTGCTGCGTGCAATGGCGTGTGCTGATTGCACTGGCATGCTTGACTGGTTATCCGTGTTTAGCCATTGCCTACACATCCTGTTGAGGCTCTTTGATCCACATTATACGCTTTGCGAACCTCCCAAGGCACTAGACTACATGTCTTTTCCTTTGATCCATGCTCCCTCGCATGCCTTAGGCGTTCCCATATTTTCCTGCCGTGGTGTCTCAGATTCGCAGAAGCATCACAGCAGTTTCGTGCATGCATCGCAGCAAATTCAAGAGATGCTGAAGAGGTTAGTACTGACTTAAAAATGCACATACCCATCCACATACCCATGTCTACACCCATGCCCCATGCCCATGCCCATGCCAATGTCAATGCTGCAATGCCATGCAATGCGTCATTACTAAAACTGTCATATGGCGCCCCTTGCAACCCCTTCCCCTGCCTCCCGCGTCCCCCTCTTTATCAATCGCTTCCTCTCTCCTTCTGCCTTCACCTCGGTTTCTACCTTTGCAAAGTCTCAGATTCCTTCGTGCCAGCCCGTCTGGTGATCTGTCTCGTGTGATGTCTGTTGCTTTGTGTTTGAGAAGTAGGGTGCTTTCTTCTCTGCAAAAGGCCGTGCTTTGTCTCAAGAATATTCTCTTTCCCTGCCCTTCTTGCCAGTCCATCTGGTGCTTTGTCTCAAGAATATTCTCTTTCCCTGCCCTTCTTGCCAGTCCATCTGGTGCTTTGTCTCAAGAATATTCTCTTTCCCTGCCCTTCTTGCCAGTCCATCTGGTGCTTTGTCTCAGAAGCCAGGGCGAATGGAGTGGACTCGGCCCGAGAAAGCATGCCAGAGGTGCGTGTCCTGTGTGTCCCATCCCACACATAAACGTTTCTCCTTTCTTTTTACTAAGTGTGCCTTAATGGCGTGGAATTGCCTGCAAAAGCATGCCAGAGGTGGGTGTCCTGTGCGTCACACGCATAAATGTTTTTCCTTTTTAGGGTTTTCTAGGTGTGCCTTAATGGCATGGAATCAGCCAGCGAGAGCATGCCAGAGGTGCGTGCCCTGTGTGTCACACGCATAAATGTTTTTCCTTTTTTCTAGGTCTGCCTCACTGGCATGGAATCAGCCTGCGAGAGCATGCCAGAGGTGGGTATTCCTGTGTGTTTCAAACTCAACTGAAGGATACTTGTGAAAGCGTGTTGAGACCTCCTGTGCTCTTGCTTCACTTGCAGTTTGTTTTTTTTTTCAATGTCGTAAAGTGTTCCCCCCTGCTCTGTCTTTCACTCCCCTGATCCCTTCTCTTCTTCCCTCAGGTGCCCCGGGACCCAGGCAAGGTGCTACGAGCAGCATACGACATGTTTAAGACGGGTGCTGACCCCTTGCAGGTAAGACCCTCGCAGCTAAGCCCTTGCATCTGCCCTCTCTCATCCCTCCCTTTCGCCTCGCTCTTGCATATCTCCTCCATTTTTCGTCAGACCAAATGGAGGACACTCAATGGCATTCATTGAACAACGTTCTTAGGACTGGTGCTCATCCATTCATCCATACATGATATGGGGCATGGCATGACATGGCATCGGAGGGCGCATGGGACGGCATGGCATGGCATGGGATGGGATGGGATGGGATGGGATGGGATGGAATGTGGGGTCACAGGTGTTGGCAGCAGCAGGGGATGACGAGGGGGGGTCATCAGCCTTCTATGCTCGGTTATATGTCGGCCTCTTCTTTGAAATTATGGTAATGGCTTCTTCTTTTTCCCATTGAGTTTAAGACGTCTTAAAGGCCACGGTTTATGACGAAGGGGGGTCATCAGCCTTCTATGCTCGGCTAAATGTCGGCCTCTTCGTTGAGATCATGGTTCCTCTTAAATTCGTTTCTCACACCAAATGGTTTGTAACATTGTCAATGTGTTGATAGTTTGATGTGATTATGTGTCCCCTCGTACTCTCTCCCACCTTCTCTCCTTCCTTACCTTCCTCCATCCCTCCATCCCTCCTCCTATCCACTCGTCCTCCAGTCATGCCCATTCCTGTGTTGTTCATGTTCCCTTTCCTCACCACTCACTCACCCGCTCTCTCACTCACTCACTCTCTCGCTCACTCTCTCACTCACTCCTCCCACCTCCCTCACACCAGGGCGATGAGGCCACGAGTAGGAAGTACATCCAATCAGCAGCTGCCACAGAATACGCATGCAGGTAACATGATGCAATCCCCGCATAATAATGCAACCCGATTTCTTTAGCCCATTAGGCTACATGGCAGAATGCCAGACAGTGCTTGCCAGCCCTGCTGGGGTGTTTTCGAGTTTTGAGGCGCCTCAAAACTAAACTACAGTGCTTGCCAGCCCTGCTGGGGTGTTATCGTCTTACCGCTTTTCCTCGCCTCCCTCCTTGCCCGTTTCCTCGTCAATCTCTTCATTCGTCCCATCCAACCCATCGAACACAGGTCGTCAGACTACATGGCAGCAGTGGCGCGAGTGCGTTCCTTAAGACGCCATTGGCCAACACTGCTTACCCTTCCAGCCTCTTTTCCGCTCTCCCTGACCTCTGCACTCACCCGATGCCATGCAGGTCGTCAGACTACATGGCAGCAGTGGCACGGGTGCATTGCTTGAGACGACAGTGGCCTCTCCCTCCCTCCACTTTCGACGATTAACCACTTTGGAGTCCCATTAGAGTCGCCAACTCTACCTACGAGTCGACGTGCTATGTACCCACCACTCTCCGTCCTGAAATATGAATGATGCAACGACTGAATTGACGTCGATGGCACTACCGTGTTTCAATAATTGGATGCACTTGAGTTGACTCTCGCGTCATGTTCTTTCCACCCCAGGAATCATCAGCTTCCAAGTAGGGGAAGGCAAAAGCACATCAGATAAGGATGACATGCCAATGACTAGTGTAGGTAACAATTTGTACCTCTACACGCTCAGGTGCCTTGGCAAGTCAGCAACAGGACCATGCAAGATCTTGCAATACAGTCAAGACAACCAAAGCATCTAACATAGCGTTTGTCAGTGCTATAAGCACCGGCAATACAGTACCCTTGAGCAAAGCAGCACCAGGCCAACCAGCAGCAGCTCTGCTCCAGATTGCACGTGAGGTTCCTAGCAAGCCTCTCAGTGAGCGCACCTAGCACTGGAATTTTCTACCCGAGATACGGTAGACGTTTGATTGAGGCGCCTCAAAAGCCAGCCAGCAGCATCTCTGCTCCAGATTGCACGAGAAGCGGCTCCTATCAAGACTCTCAGTGAATGCACATATCGGTATGTAGTTCTCTAACCGAAATAGCCGGGCTCATTGCCTGGTGCCCACTTTATGTTGCAGCCGATGCTGCACAAAAGGGGATAAAGGATGGTCAGGCAAACGCACGAAAGTAACACAACAGAAAGTTGGCAAAAAATTACCCAAACAAGGAACTACAGGACAACCACATTAAATAAAAAAAAGAAACAGAACCCACCTGGGTACCTAGACCCGAACCTCGTAAACAAAGACCTACCTTGTCCTCTGCAGGTATGTAGCCCTGAGAATATATTGGCTCTGTGATTTCAACCAGATCCTTACCTGGCCCTCTGCACACTGGGGATGGTTCGAGCGGACAGCACAAGGTCTAGGGCAGCGCGCAGGTGTAGGGCAGCGCGCAGGTCTAGGGCAGCGCGCAGGTCTTTCGGTCAACGGACGATTCACTGGGCGGCCGTTGGAGGGGCGGGAATCGTCCAGCTGGCCGTGGAATGCCAGCTCGAAGGGGCTCAGATAAGTTCAAACGGGCTGTTGAAGGCAGGCTCACTTGGGCCTATGAGTGCTGGGAACGGGTCGTGCTGACAGCACGCAGTCGAGAGCAGCACGCAAGTCCTTGCCAGTGACCGGGCGGCCGTTGGAGGGACGCGAGTCGTCCAGCTGGCCGGGGTATGCGAGCTCGAAGGGGCTCAAATGGGCCCCAAGCGGCTAATGCCAACTCAAAGGGACTTATGAAGGCAATCTTACCTGGGCCTCTGGGCACTGGGGACTGGTCTCGCAGACAGCACGCAGTCAAGAGCCGTGCGAAGGTCCTTGCCAGTGACCGGGCGGCCGTTGGAGGGACGCGAGTCGTCCAGCTGTCCGTGGTATGCGAGCTCTAAGGGGCGGCGACCGTCCTTTTTGAAGAGAAAGAAGTCGGGCGTGCAGGCAGCATGGTAAGCTTTCGCTACCTCTTGCGTCTGAAGGGTGGGAAGGGGTGTGGGAGGCGAAGGATTGGGGTGATTGGGGAGTGGAAGGAAAGGGAGTCGTCCAGCTGTCCGCGGTATGCGAGCTTAAAGGGGTGGCGGCCGTCTTTTTTAAAGAGAAAGAAGTCGGGCGTGCAGGCAGCATGGTAAGCTTTCGCTACCTCTTGCGTCTGAAGGGTGGGAAGGGGTGTGGGAGGCGAAGGATTGGGGTGATTGGGGAGTGGAAGGAAAGGGAGTCGTCCAGCTGTCCGTGGTATGCGAGCTTAAAGGGGTGGCGGCCGTCTTTTTTAAAGAGAAAGAAGTCGGGCGTGCAGGCAGCATGGTAAGCTTTCGCTACCTCTTGCGTCTGAAGGGTGGGGAGGGGTGTGGGAGGCGAAGGATTGGGGTGATTGGGGAGTGGAAGGAAAGGGAGTCGTCCAGCTGTCCGTGGTATGCGAGCTTAAAGGGGTGGCGGCCGTCCTTCTTGAAGAGGAAGAAGTCTGGCGTGCAGGCAGCGTGATAGGCCTTGGCCACCTCCTGAGTCTGATAGACGGGAGGGGGTATTGGGAAGGGGGAAAGGAAGAAAAGGGAGAGTCGTTCAGCTGGCCGTGGTATGCGAGCTCGAAGGGGCGGCGGCCGTCCTTTTTGAAAAGAAAGAAGTCGGGCGTGCAGGCAGCATGATAAGCTTTCGCTACCTCTTGCGTCTATTTGTCAGGTGAAGGGAGGGTGGGGGGAGAGGTGGTGATTGGGAAGGGAAAGGTGAGGGACAGCTGTCCAGCTGTCCGTGGTATGCGAGCTCCAACAGGCGGCAGCCGTTTTTTTTTTAAGAGGAAGAAGTCGGGCGTGCAGGCAGCACGGTAGGCCTTGGCCACCTCCTTGGCCTTGAAGATATTGAAGAAGAGCTTGTGAAACGCACGCACCTCATCATAGAGGTAGGGGAAGGGGAAGTTGAACTGCCTGGTCAGAGAAGACTCAGGTTATACATTGTCACACAAAGAGAAAATCTGAGTGTTTGGTGTGCGAATAATAGGAAATGAACTGCAATTCGAAGGGTGAGACGCACCTCATCATAGAGGTAGGGGAAGGGGAAGTTGAACTGCTTGGCTTCCTCTGCCATTTTGTCTGGTCCGTCCTGTAGTTATGCAGAGAGGAGATTGAGGAGTATGACAGAGGGAAATGAGAGAATAGAGTGTAGTCTTGATTCACGGCGAGTCACAGAATGAATCAAAAGTCATTTTGTGGCTACAGTGACGTATGGCACGTGATTGTCTACTTAATGAAAAATCTGCATACACGATCAACATACAAGGAATGTAGCACGGTGCACTGAAATTTAGCTTACATACACGGAACCACACGGCGTACCTGAGGGTGGGTGAGGACCGAGTTGGAGGAGATGGCAACCACTCCAAGCCCATGCTGGAGAGAAGCAGAGCAGGGAGGAACAAGACGGGGAGAAAAGAAAGAGGGGAGGAGCGGCCGAGAGGGTGTGAGGGCCGGGTGGGTGAGCACCGAGTTGGAGGAGATTGCAACGACTGCCAGCCCATGCTGCATGGAAGGAGGGGCGCGGGGAGAAAAAGAGGGGAGCAGAGAAATTGTGAAGAGAACGTTTGAGCTTAGGAGCAGCCTTCGTCTGAGCTGAGACGAACTTTGGGATGAGATGGAAATGGAAAGTCGGTGAGGACAGAAATGGAAGAGATGGCAACCACTGCTAGCACATGCTGGAATAAGAAGAACGGGAATGGGAGGAGAGGGGAGATGACGGAGGAGAAAAGAACAGAGAAAGAGTGGGGACGATATTCCAGCCGACTCAAGAGTGTTTATAAGGGGGCCGACAGCAACCATTAGGAATCCATGCTGGAGGTGTAGCGTGGAAATGTACCTTGGAAATATAGTCGTTGAAGAATACTGTGAGATTATATATGAGGCGCATGAGAAAACAGGTGTAGCGTGGAAATGTACCTTGGAAATATAATCATTGCCAAGTGCAACGAGTTGCGACTTGATGTGAACCACGAAGGGGCAATGATTGCAAATGAACATGACCTGGTGCGGTGGAAGAAGGTGGAGGAGAGGAAGAGGAGAGGGGGGGGAGAGAAGGTGGGGTGGAAGATGGTAGGGAATAAGGGGGGATAGGATATGAGATGAGATTGTATGAACCACGAATCTGCAATGGTTGCATGCCATATGTCCAAATTGAGACACAGACAGTGAACGTGCGAGTGTATTCAAGTTTGAGCCTAAACTGACCCGAGCAAAAAACTGCACTTGCGAGGAGTAAAATCTGAAAGGGCAAATGTGAACTTGACTAGTGAGGATGTGGATTTGACAGCTGGACTTACAAGGAGAGCCGGGTGGCCGTCAAAGTCGGAGAGGGAAGTGTGAGAGAGGGGGAAGGGGAAGAGAGAGGGGAGAAAAGGAGGACTTACAAGGAGAGCCGGGTGGCCATCAAAGTCGGAGAGGGAAGTGTGAGAGAGGGGGAAGGGGAAGAGGGGAGAAAAGGAGGACTTACAAGGAGAGCCGGGTGGCCATCAAAGTCGGAGAGAGACCATGTCTTGCCCGTCAGAGGCTCCACTAGCTGGTACAGTACACACATGCATGTACAGTAGACACATATGTATTGTCACACGCGTGTACAGTCACACGGGGGTACAATCACACACGCATGTAAAGTGGGAAAGGGACCACGTCTTGCCCGTCAGAGGCTTCACTAGCTGGCACAGTACACATGCAAGTACAGTGCACAAATATGCATTGCCACACGCGTGTACAGTCACATGGGGATACAATCACACACGCATGTAAAGTCGGAGAGTGACCATGTGTTGCCCGTCATATGCACACGCGCGCGTCATATGCACACGCGCGCGTCATATGCACACGCGCGCGTCATATGCACACGCGCGCCAGCCTATGGGGCATGTCTCTCGCATGCCTTGCTGCCTCCTTCGCATAGGACTAACAAATAATAGCTGCAGGATCCAGCTGCATCGCTCGACACTCGATACAAACTGCATCTGCACTTTGCTATATGAGTTACTAAATCGTGATTGTATGTACCTGAAGAAGAGTATTCTATTCTTTCTACATGGTAAGTTACCGTGAAATCCGGCGCTCGGGTGCCTAAAGCGAGAGGCTGCGACTCGGTAAGCACCATTTTCACCCCCAACGCGCCGCCACGCCCCGCGGTGCGCGAACCCGCTCCGGCTGTAGCGCAGTTTCCGGCTGTCGCGCGCTGCGACGCGAGCAAAGCGCGCGTATCGGGTAACCCGAAAACACGCGACTCTGCGAACCCGACTGTAGCGCTAAATCCGGCAGCTGCGGCGAGAGCGCGATCTGCGGGGACCTTCACAACGAGAGATGCCCTAGAAGAAACGCCTTGGCGAGAAACGCGGGAAGCGTGACACGTGGCAGCGCGTCGAATGGGGATGTTGAGGTGAGGGGCCGCGGAGATATGGCGCGGAAGCGCAAGCACCATTCTCAACACAACGAGGCCGTGACTCGCGGAAAGATTCGTTAGCTGTGTTCCCACTGACTGCCTCGAGAATCGTGAATTGCCCACTCTGGTGACTGCAAAAAGAAGTGTGGCTGCCCGCTAAGGGGGCTGATGGCGAATCGAACCTCGAGAATGTTCTCCACGAGAAGCAAATTCTTTGCTCCACGTTAGAATGTTCTTTGGCAAAAACACGAGTTTTGCCACATATACTGTCCGCGTTAGAAAGAACATTCTGAAAGAACGATTCCAGATTTACCCAAACCAGCTGGTTGTTACAAAATGTATGCATGAATCAAGTCAAAATCACTTAAATTATTTACTGCAGTCACGAATTTCCACATTGATTGGCATCCTTTCTTCCCTTCATCGTTATGCACAACTTGCCATCAACATTACATATAGTGCATGCATCGTAACATTTGTGTGAGGGATAATCCGAAGTCAAGCTCACACACACATACACACAAGCAGCAAGCAGCAGGGAGGGAAAATAGAAAGTCATGCAAACATGACACATATCCACCCATGTAGACTGCTAGAGCAGCTATTTTGAGACAGCCTTCATTGTTCCACTAGGTTTTACCCCAGCAGCAATGCCAGCTGCAATCGTGTAACTGCGCGTGGAATTCAACTCCTCAACCGCTACCTGAGATCTCAAGGATAACCTCCTGCCATCTTTTCGACAAGCTATTTTTGGGACGCACGCGCCTTAGCTCAGCAAGACAACGGGAATTGCTCTCCAGTGTTTCCACTCTTCTCAGACCAAACACCGTGATGTGAGGAAGTATCATGAAACCGTCAAACTATTAAATCATGACATGGATATTGGCAAAATGGCATGCCATCTATTCTAGCCGCACACATCCGACTCCTAATACATCTATTCAGCTATCAAATTGGGGGAAACACGCCCGAAGACGAACGGCTAATTGGCGTGTCCCACGTTAGGTCTTGGAACAACCTCATTGCAGGGAGGTAACGAGACTTCCACGCGTTGTCCTAATTGCCAGGCGCCTTGGCCTTGTTTTTCTCCTCCCACTGCTTGCGGTGGCCAGGCGGAAGCACAGTTGCGCCGGTGCCCTTGCGGAGCTGCCCGCGCACGGCGCCCGCGGGGAACGCCGGAGTCGACACCACCACGTAGAATTTTTCGGGGTTAAACATCACTTTCGAGAACGTCGTCGAAAGTGGTTGGCCAGACAACGCTTTCATGTTGGCGACGTCTTCCCACACGCCGGTCGTCGCATAGCTCAGGTAGTTCTCCGCGGGGTTTGCGGAAGCCGTAGCGCCAATGCCCGTGGTGTTCACCCATTTCGCTCCCGCGAAGCTGATAACTGCCGGCCCCGTCGCGTCGCTGGCGGCCATGTTGATCGTCGCGCCGGTGGGCAGTCCCGCGACGGACAGCTTCCGCACGGCGACGACATACTTGATGTTCACCACCGGGCCGTTCTTATACACCGTCATGATCGCGTTGCCCGCTGCGTTCGCGTCGCCGGGCGCCGCGCCGACGACGGACGACCCGCGGAGAACAGTGCCCACCTGCATCACCTCGTGCCCCAGCGGCTTCCCCTTGTGCTCCGCCCCCCTGGGGACCGGCGCGGGGTGCGTCTTGGGCGCTCCTGCGCCGCCTGCTGTGCCCTGCTTGGGCGCGCCGGGGCCCGGCTGCTTCCCGCCGGCGGGAGCGACCTTACCGCCAAGGGCCTTCCCCTTGGGGGTGGGCGCGGTGGTCGTCGTGGGCACTATGGGGCTCGTCGCTTTCGCGTTCGGCGCGACGGCGATGCTCGCGAGCTTAGGAGTTCCGGGGAGGGGGGTGGTTTCCACTGTCTGAGGCTCCACTGCGGGGACTGCGGGGTCCGCTTCTTGTAGTTTTCGGGCGTCGGCCGCTAGGCCTGAAGTACAGGAAAGGGGTGGAGAAGGAGGGAATAAGAGTCATACGGGAGTTAGGTGTAATACGACACACTCAATCATTTTTCATTGAGGCGAGAGAGGAACTTGAAACAAGGAATGTTAGGAGAGCAGTCCTTACATGACAAGGCGAGTATCGCCAAGAGCGCGGAGAGGAAGCGAGTTGTCGACATTGCGTCAAGTGGTTGAGAAGGACAATGGAACGCTCGTAACTGGAGAACTTCGAGCCAGCAGTTTGTGGAGTTGTAGAGAATGAAGCTGCGATGTGGATTGAAGTTTTCGGAAGCTGAATGAATGTTGAGTGAGAATGATGAGCAAGTCTAGGGTTTTGTAGTCGTGTGTCTCGAACCGTGTCGCAATGTTGGGGAGGGAAAAGTCTGGAGCCAAACCGCGACAATGGAAGGTCGAGAATGCGGCTCGACAGAGTCCACGCAAGCAAAGCAAATTCACCGATCTTCAGAAGGGGGAGCGGGGAACTGGGGTCGGTCTTCTGAACTCCTGGTTGGGGCAGATTTGTGCGCGAAGTTTTTCGTCATCCGTCGCGAAGAGAGCAAGATTGGGCAAGTTGACTGGTATCCCGCTTGACGTATCTCTTCGCACCGTCCATTTTGCTGCTGAGAAATCTGTGACGAAATCGACGGCGAAAGCAAATCCGTTGGTACTGGCAAGTAACCTGAACGGCTACACAATCGTCCAGCTGCACGGGGAAACGTTTGATTGAACGCACCTCCCACGGGTTTGCTTTGGAACAGTTTCCGTTGGCTGCAAAACGTTAGCTGGAGGATTTGACAGATGTATGGAACCGTTGGAGGGTCTGACGGCAAAATTTCCGTCCATCCCCAGCTGAGCATTTGCTTTTTGCGTCCCAGTCAAACGGAAGAGTGAGCGGGACTACAGAGACTTTCCGTCAGCTTCTGACAAATTTGGAAGGGCGGAATTCCACAACCATTTGCATGCACCACGGCGTTAAACTCGTTTGTATGAAACTCGACCGCCCAATCACCGAATCCCGCTACACTCTCCAACGAACCGCATTTCCCAGAATTCAAATGTCGCGGTTCGTGAAATATACTTGTTTTGCACAGACAATCACAAGCCCGGGTTTTACCTACCGCATGCAGATCTTGCTAGTGCAGCTTTGCAAACGCATGCAATAGACGGTTCAGGGGAAAATGGTCGGCTTGCCGGCAAAAACATGCGGTTACCCGTGTTTAGGGTTGAGGCTCCCTCAATCGCATGCCATCCAGATGGGGTTTATTTTTTTCTGACCGCGGGCAGATAACAGTCCGTCAGCCTCTTTCCCCTGCGGCCGTCTATTGTATGCGTCTGCATAATCGCGCTGGCATAAGTTGAATGCCGTTAAAAATGGCCCTCACAAGCCACAACACCTAGGCACCAGCGGGTATTCGCATAAAAGCGCCCACCCTCTCACCTTCCCCCATCAGTTCACTCGTTTCTCTCTCCAATTCGCGACCTTCATTGGCATCCCTCAAGAAAGCTTTTCTTGTCTCAGATTCAGAGTACATTCAAGTAAAGTTTATTCGAGCGCTGGTGTTCGCAAACCACTTCCCGAAACAATGTCGACCACTCGCTTCCTCACGGCGCTTCTGGCGATTCTCGCCATCTCATGTAAGTGTTCACTCATCGTAAGCGTTTCTGTCGCGTTTCTGTCTCGTTCACTTTACAAAATCCAACTACTCTGTCAATTCTTTCAGCAGTATCCCTTTCCAATTTCGACAAGTATTCCCTTCCATCAATCTGATCTAACAAACTCCCCTTCCCTTTCTCTATCTTTCAGGCCTAGCAGCAGACGCTCGAAAGCTCCAAGAAGCCAACCCCGCAGTCCCCGCGGTGGAGCCGCAGACGGTGGAAGACACCCCCCACCCCGGAACTGTGTCGCCCACAGCGAAGATCGCCAGCATCGCCGCCGCGCCGAACGGGAAAGCGAGCAGCCCCGTGGTCACCACGACCACCGCGCCCACCCCCAAGGGGAAGGCCCCCGGCGGTAAGGTCGCTCCCGCCGGCGGAAAGCAGCCGGGCCCCGGCGCGCCCAAGCAGAGCACAGCAGGCGGCGTAGGCGCACTCCGCGGACCGCCCAAGGCGCACCCCGAGCCGGCCGCCGGGGGGGCGGAGCACAAGGGGAAGCCGCTGGGGCACGAGGTGATGCAGGTGGGCACTGTTCTCCGCGGTTCGTCCGTCGTCAGCGCGGCGCCCGGCGACGCGAACGCGGCGGGCAACGCGATCATGACGGTGTATAAGAACGGCCCGGTGGTGAACATCAAGTATGTCGTCGCCGTGTGGAAGCTGTCCGTCGCGGGACTGCCCACCGGCGCGACGATCAACATGGCCGCCAGCGACGCGACGGGGCCGGCAGTTATCAGCTTCGCGGGAGCGAAGTGGGTGAACACCACGGGCATTAGCGCTACGGCTTCCGCAAACCCCGCGGAGAAATATCTCAGCTATGCGACGACCGGCGTGTGGGAAGACGTCGCGAACATGAAAGCGTTGTCTGGCGAAGCGCTTTCGACGGCGTTCTCGAAAGTGATGTTTAACCCCGAAAAGTTCTACGTGGTGGTGTCGACCCCCGCGTTCCCCGCGGGCGCCGTGCGCGGGCAGCTGCGGAGGGGCACCGGCGCAACTGTGCTTCCGCCCAGCCACCGCAAGCAGTGGGAGGAGAAAAACAAGGCCAAGGCGCCTGGCAGTTAGGATGACGGAAGCGGAAACCCTAATGTAGATGGTGCATTAGTAGGTATTCCCGGAGTCCATTCTTCAAATGGATTCGTTACGGGTTTATGTAGCCAAAGCTATAACATGTCTTTGGAAGTGGTTATTAGTTTAATTCAGTGAATTGACAATTACTAGTTGTTACGAGTGCAATTGAGTGAGCGAACGAAGATTGCACTATCGAAGCAACAAGTACAATGAGCGAAGGCATGAGCGAAGATTATATAGCGAAACTACAGTGGTAACGGTAATGTGTGGAAAATGGGGTGCGCGACGGGCCTAGCGCCGAGGTTGGGAATTGTCGAGGCGGAGGTCCGGAGCGCGGGTTACCAACCGAGCCGTGAGGTTGGGTCGCGTCGTGAACAGTGGCGGGAACAGTACCGAGGCGAGTGTCGCGAGTGGTAACGGATTACTGTTGGGTGCTGTTGGCGGGAACAGTGCTGTACGCGCTGAGCAGGGACGCGAAGTAAGGAAAAGGAATTTTCCTTACACTACCCCCCCCTAAGGAGGTCCTCCTTACGAGAGCGCGTGGACATCCCGGAAATTGCGGCTTCGCAGGTACTCGGTGAGGACAGGGTGATTCTCAATTCTGTCCAGGGGAACCCAGTTACCTTCCGTGGGCGTGCGATCTTTCCAGCGGATCAGGAATTCGATTCTGCGGGCTCCCCGTGGGTCACGTACTCGATGGCTTAGGATTTTTTCGGGCGTGATGATTGGCTCCGTTGGTGGCCGTGTCATGCTGGCGGGGCGGTGGCGAGGCAGTTGGCTGGTGGATGGCACGTATGGGCGGAGCAGGCTGACATGGAAGGACGGGCTGACGTACCAGTCAGCAGGGAGGAGGAGGTGGGCGGTAACAGGTGTGATCATGTGGCTGATACGAAATGGCCCACAATATCGGGGGCGGAGTTTTGGGGTGATGGGTAGGCGGAGGTTGTGGGTGTCGAGTAACACCAGGTCGTCGGGCTGGTAAGTGACGGGGCGGCGGTGTCGGTCGGCGTTGCGTTTAGCGATGACGTTTGATTTTTTTATGGCTTCTGCTGCTCGGGTCCGGGCTGCCTGTAATATTTCTGTGAACTGTTGTGCGCGTGGGACGGGATTGTCGGGATTCGGGGTCATGGGTACTGTGGGGTCTTGTCCGTAGTTCAGGTAAAAGGGTGACTGTTGGGTGGTGGCGGATGGCGAATTATTGTAGGCGAATTCGATGAGTGGCAGTTGCTGTTCCCAGGTGGTCGGGTCGTCGCACGTGGCTCGGATGAGTTGCTCCATGGTCTGGTTGGTCCGTTCTGTCTGTCCGTCGGTCTCGGGGTGGTACGACGAGCTGAACTGTAGTCGCGTGCCAAACTGCTGCCACAGGTTTCGCCAGAAGTTGCTGGTGAATTTCGTGTCGCGGTCGCTGATGATTGCTGCTGGTATCCCGTGCAGTCGTACGACGGTGGCGATGAAGAGGCAAGCTGTTTCTTCTTCGGCTGTGATTGATTTCTTGCAGGCTGCGAAGTGCGCCATTTTCGTCAGTCGATCGACGACGACCATGATCGCGTCGTTCCCACTCGCTCCAACCGGTAACCCTGTGACGAAGTCCATCGTCACCTGCTGCCACGCACGCTCTGGGGGCGGTATCGGCTGCAACTGTCCTGCCGGCCGCTTCCGTGACGACTTCATGAGCTGGCAAGTGGGACACGATGCCACGTGTCGCTGTACGTCGGTCAACATCTCGGGCCAGTAATAATATCGCTGCAGCTGCTGCCGTGTTTTTTCTACCCCAAAATGTCCCGAGGTAACTCCGTCGTGTGCCTCCTGTAACAGTAATTCCCGTAGCAGGGTGTACCCTGGTACCCAGATGCGGTCAGTCCCGGTTTTTACGTAATAGACTCCCCGTGCTGTTGCGAACTGCTGCGAATTTCCTCCTGTGAAGAAAGGGTCCGTTTGATACCCGTGGGTGAATAGTCCTGTTAAAAGTGGGCTGGTCTGGGCGAGTAGGATTGCGTGGATGTGGGCAGTGGGGCGGGTCAGTGCGTCAGCAATGTTGGATGCTCCCTTTTTGTAGGTGACTGTGTAGTGGAAGTTTGACTCGAGGAAATCGAGCCAGCGAATCTGTCGTGGGTTGAGGTGGGGCTGTGCGCGAAGGTACTGTAGTGATTTGTGGTCTGTCCGTACTGTCACGTCTGCGCCGGTCAGGTAACAGCGCCACACTTTGAACGCGTGCACGATTGCGAGCATTTCGCGGTCGTGTATCGGGTAATTCTTCTCGGGCGGATGCAGTTTTCGTGACTCGTATGCGATAGGCTGTAGGCCGTTGCCGAAATCCTGTAGCAGTACGGCTCCGATGGCGATGTCACTAGTGTCTGTAACTACTTCGAATGGGCGGTGTGGGTCGGCAATGCGCAGGACGGGCGGTGAACAGAGAACAGTTTTCAGGGCAGAGAAGGCAGCATGCTCTTTCTCCCCCCACGTAAAAGCGACCCCTTTCCGTAGTAAATCCGTCAGTGGGGCTGTTAAGCGAGCCATGTCGGGGACGAACCGACGGACGTAATTAACAAACCCCAAAAAACTCTGCAGCTCCGTGATGTTCGTCGGGGGGTGCCATGCCTTGACCGTATCCAGCTTCCGTGGGTCAATCTCAACCCCAGCCTCCGAAATAACGTGCCCCAAAAATTCTAACCTATTCCGAAAGAACTCGCACTTAGAACCCTTGGTCAATAACCTATGCTCCTCTAAAATCTTAAACACTGCTTCGAGGTCCGCTAAATGCTGCTGCTTATCGCGACTGTAGACGAGGATGTCGTCGAGGTAGACTATCACGCACTTATCTAAAAGTGGCCGAAACGCCTCGTTCATGGTCATTTGAAATGTCGCAGGTGCGTTGGTCAGCCCGAAGGGCATCACGGTGTACTCGAATGACCCGTACCTAGTCCTAAAAGCTGTCTTGGCGCAGTCCGATGGTTCGACCCGAATCTGGTGGTAACCTCCCCGTAGATCTATTTTCGAAAAAACCCGTGCTGTTCGCAGTTGGTCGATCAGTTCGTCGGCGCGGGGGATGGGATATCGCGATTTAACTGTAACCCTGTTGAGCGCTCGGTAATCGATGCACATGCGAAACCCTCCGTCTTTTTTCGGTGTGAACAGTATCGGTGCGGCGAATGGTGACGAACTCGGTCGGATAAACTGCTTCTCTAACAGGTAATCTAACTGCTTCCTCAGTTCGTCGAGCTCCGGCTGTGTCAGTCTGAACTGGCGCTGTACGGTTGGCTGTGCTCCCGACTCTAATTCTATCCTATGATCGTGCGCCCGCTGAGGTGGCAGTCCCTCTGGTAAGTCGTCGGGAAAAATCCCCGGGTACCGTTTCAACAGCTCCTGTAGTTCGGGCGGTACCGCTGCCAGCAGTTTCTGAAAATCGCTCGGCTGCTCTGCTTCTCCTACTACTGCGATGTCCACTGCGTACACGTCAGCTCCAGCGGCGACTGCCCGTTTCATCGTGATGGCGTTGACGTGGACCGTTGAAGACTCAGGCGACTGCCAGCGTGGTAGTTCGACCCAGTTACCACTACTTCGCACAGTGCAGCTGCCTGTCGTCCAGTCAATTCGCGGGTTATACCGTCGCAGCCAATCACGTCCCAGTAAAATATCGTGCCCATCCAGCATCGTCGCGAGCATTTCCTGTGTAAACCCGAAGTTCCCCCCGCAGCGAACCTTTACTCTCTCGACCTTTTCCCGTATGGCCAGCGGCGTGCCGTCAACTAAGCGTGCGTCTATCTCAGGTAAGCACCGGCTGAGTGTCAGTTGCAGTTTCCGTGCGGTTGCGGTATTAACTAAGCTATGGCTTGCTCCTCCGTCGATAAAAATCTTCACTGCTGCTCCCTGTATTTTCCCGTAGATCAGTATTGGGCAATCCGTCGCTGTACCCTCCTTATTCATCCGAGCCCGATCGATGGCGTGAATCGGTACTGTGACTCGGTGAGGGTCGGTGCGGTTGGGCGAGCAGGCAGTCTCGTCAGTAGTTGGCCCAACTTCTACTGACTGCTGGCGTTTCCCTGTCTCTGAGACTCCCTCCCCTGCTCTGCTCCGCGGCGCCTCAGCTCCTCTGGACATTCACTCTTGCGATGGCCCGGCCTGTTGCAAGCAAAGCAGCGCCCCTTAAATGGCGCGGCAGCTGCATTCGTCGCAACGGCGTGTACGGTGGCGTGCTCGACCGGCCCCCGAGGACGATGTCCGTAGTAGGACCCCGGTCTCGGACGGCGCAAAATGTCGATTTTCTCGGCGAGCGCGAGAATCTCGTTGAAGTTCGAGAGCCCGCGTAGCATGATTTCGTGCGAGATATCCGGCTTCAGCCCTCCGACGTAACGGTCCACCCGCTCCGCTTCGTGCATGTAGCCGACCTGCTCGCATAATGCGAGAAAACCGCTCGTGTAGTCTTGAACCGATCCGAGCTGCCGCCAAGTGCGCAGTTTCTGACGCGCCGAAATAGAAGCCGCGATCGGCTCGAAGCGCGCCCGAAGCCCTACGCACCACGCATCCCACGTGCTGTACTGGGCGGTTTCGCAGAACGAACTCCAGGTGACTGCTGGACCCGCGGGCCCTTCCTCTTGCGACGGTGGCTCGTAGGCGCGTGGCGACGTCACGATGACTCGCCACCAGTCCATAGCGGGGCCCCTCAGCAGCGAAACGGCGTATCGAATTTTCGCTGCGTCCGACTCGACGTAATTCGCGTCGAAGAAGACGTTCATCGTGAAGATCCACGATTGAACCGTCGGACCTCCACGCTGGCTCGGGTCGAAACAGGGCGGGCGCTGCGGCTTGAGTGGCATTGGTGCCATGATGGCTTGATCTCCACTTGTTGCCGCGAACTCCACGTGCCGACGGGCTTCGCGAGGCTCCTGAGAGCTTGGCGCGGCCCGGTTTCTTCCCATGCCAGGCATTGGCTGGGCGGCGCTATCACTGGCTGCTCCTGAGCGCTGTCCCACGCTGTCGTGCTGTGTTGGTGTGCCAGCCAAAATGACGATCGGCTCCTCCGACTGTGCAGGTACATTTTGTGGTGCTGGGGCGCTCGCCGTAGCTTGCTGACGCGCGGAGTCACGTTCCGCCGTGAGTGTCGCGATTTCGAGCGCCGATTCTTCAACTTGGCGCACCAGGCGGTCGAGCTGCTCCTGCGTCAGAGTCGCGAGATTGAATTCGGCCATGGCGGGGGTGTCGGGCGAGCTCAGCGAGAGCCTCTGTCGTGGCCGTGCGTGCTTACGAGAGAGCACTACGAGCGGCGGTGCTGTGTCGCTGAGAGACGTCTACCCCCCCCAAAAATTGAGATAGTGGGGAAGCGAAGGTGTGGGTGCGGTCCGAGAAGAGATCGTAGGCTCTGATACCAAGTGTTACGAGTGCAATTGAGTGAGCGAACGAAGATTGCACTATCGAAGCAACAAGTACAATGAGCGAAGGCATGAGCGAAGATTATATAGCGAAACTACAGTGGTAACGGTAATGTGTGGAAAATGGGGTGCACGACGGGCCTAGCGCCGAGGTTGGGAATTGTCGAGGCGGAGGTCCGGAGCGCGGGTTACCAACCGAGCCGTGAGGTTGGGTCGCGTCGTGAACAGTGGCGGGAACAGTACCGAGGCGAGTGTCGCGAGTGGTAACGGATTACTGTTGGGTGCTGTTGGCGGGAACAGTGCTGTACGCGCTGAGCAGGGACGCGAAGTAAGGAAAAGGAATTTTCCTTACACTAGTTCCGGAAGTTCAAAAGTTTACTAGTACAGGTACCTACAAATAGAACTAAATACTTGCACTCTCTACATTATACTAGGTCAATTTAGAGATTTGTGCTGTTCTTACTTGACAAAACCTATTAACATTAGAAATGTTAAGACAATGGTATAGTACTCAGCTCAGACGCTATATCTGTGCGAGGTAACAGGTACCTTCCATACCACTCTAATACGTGTTGTCCAAACCAAAGTTCCCTTTTGTAACTTGTTGCCCAGCAAAATCATGGTAGTCCATGCAAGCACTCCATTTCTCCTATTTAAATGGCATCAATCCTGATAGTCCTTGACTTGATGCCACAGGTATTGGAGAAGTCTAAGATGCCTAGGATTTGCACCAGGCCACAATAACATCCCCATCACGTGCCAGCCATGCCGCACGAGCCCTCAAGTGTCCAATCCAGTTCCATAGCTGTAGCAGGAAAAGGTTGGAATATCTAAGCCCCCCGTAATATCAACATGTCTAAGATGCCTTAGATTTGAGCCAGGCCACGATATCATCCCCATCTCGCGCCAGCCACACCGCGCGAGCCCTGATCGTCTCGAGTGTCCGCTCCAGTTCCATCGCCGCGGATGGGATTGGATGGAGTACCTTTGCGGTGTGACATGTACCGTAAGAAAATATCTACGACGCCTTAGACTTGAGCCAGGCCACAATATCATCGCCATCTCGCGCCAGCCACGCCGCACGAGCCCTAATCGTCTCCAGTGTCCGCTCCAGTTCCATAGCTGCGGCCGGGACCTGATGGGCGGAGAAGAAAGCCTCCGCATCACGAGCCTTGTCCTCAGTGGCAAAGCCCTTGAGGGGCAGAGCTGGTATGCGCTGCATTTATGAGTTGACAAGATATAAGAAACAGAGTTGCCGTGATGAATGAAATTGCAACAAATTCCTCCCCAGGCCTGTTCTATCGAACTACATTGCTGTGGGATGAGAGGGGGAATATCAGAATCATATATGCCATCACAAGGTGACTAAAGCTATCCTGCAGGGCAACGACCCGACCTTAAAATACACAGAAACAACAAAGACAATGAGATGTTGACCAAACTGGGAAGACTGACAACAGACAACAGGAAACCTTACAAATTTCACTGCAAAAGAAATGACTCACTGCAAACAAGGCAGCAGCAGAGGCGAAGCGAGCGTGAATGGCATCGAAATGCTCCTTAAAATACTCCCAGGCGTGCTCGCAGTTGTCAGCATTGCCAGCCATGGTCATAAAGACAATGCTGCGCAGGATTCCATGACATGGGGGAGCGGCCACAAAGGAAGGGGGGAAGAGGAGGAGGGGAGGGGATGGGGTGTATAGACTTGGTAAATAGAGTAGCTCACCTTGAAGAGGGCAGCAGCAGAGGAGAAGCGAGCATGGATGGTGTCATAATGCTCCTTGAAATACTCCCATGCGAACTCGCGATTGGCTGCATTGCCTGCCATGGTCATGAAGACAATGCTGCAGAGGGATGGGGAAGAAGGGTAATGAACTCAACGAAATGCTCCTTCAATTGCTGCGTTGCCTGCCCTGGTCATAAGGCTGCAAGGGGATAGATAGGGAACAGAGGTGAATTTTGATATGACTCGAAAGTAGCCTGCCATTGTCGTGAAGAATTACCGTGCGGGGGATCGGATGGGGTAACGGAGGGTGGTCAAGCACCATGAACTCCCTCAGCATGATTGCCGAGCATGTTTCTGCTTGACTTACATGATTGCCACCAGCATATCCACACAGAGCACTACAGCGGTGGGCGCGTCAGAGAAAACCAACACGAATGATCTGGAGCAGTGATATTTCAGATCATTCTGAATGTTTCCAGAATTCAACTCAGATGACGCACTGCACTGTGAACGGCATGAAAAGAGAAGAGAAGGACATTGCGGAGCGCCAAGTGCGGAGCACAGCAGACTTACTACTGGTCCTGCGCCTTCACTTCAGTCTCGTCAAGCGCAAACGCCAGGAAGTCCTTGTAGAGCTCACGGTCCTTCACAGATGAGAGCGCTGCTCATAGGGTGTAGGGATTGGTGAAATGGGACGCAGAGAGGGCGGGAGGGTTGAACGTAAGGCAGATTGAATATAGCATTTGTAAGGCCAGGAAGTCCTTGCATAGCTCACGGTCCTTCACAGAGGAGAGCGCTGCACGCATGTAAGGTGGGGGTAATGGTGGATAGGGAAACAGATAAGACGGGGGGTTAAAGGTAAGGCAAATTGAAAATAGCGTTTAGACGGCAAGGAAATCCTTGTATAGCTCACGGTCCTTCACAGAGGAGAGCGCTGCACATACAGCATAGGGATGATGCATTTGCGGAAAGAAAGAGGACAGAGGAGCGAGAGGAATCCTTGAAATCATGGGCACAGCAGCCCCCCTGCAGAGCTTCCTAGCATTGCACCCATCAGGGGAACGGTCCAGAGAGCTAAGGTGGACTCAGGTTTATGCGCCTCAGAATAAGGTATTTCAGGTCACGGCCAGAAGCACGTACCAACGAGGCAGTGGATCTTGAAGTCAGGCGTGGTTGCCTCCCTGTAGAGCTTCTTAGTGGCCTCCATCTCCTCCTTGCCTCCGTACTTCACAGCAACGGACATGACCACGCGGCGCAGGTCAGGGTTGACGGAGCTGCAGTGGTGTGGTGGGGAATACGTGAGAGGAGGGGCGGCAGAGGGCGAGAGATGGTGAAACTCAGTGCCTCCTCCATCTCCTCCTTTCCTCCAAACTTCACTGCCACAGACATCACCACCCGGCGCAGGTCAGGGTTGACGGAGCTAAAGGGTGACAGACAGGAAGAGAAGGAAGGGAGCAGTTGCAGGTAGTGGGAGGTCTGGTCTGGCTGACCTCCATCTCCTCCTTTCCTCCGTACTTCACTGCCACAGACATCACCACCCGACGCAGGTCAGGGTTGACCGATCTGGTGCGGGTGAAAACATGTGATGAAAAGTGGTCGAGAACACATTCACACTCTCGAGAAATAAGGCGTGCGCACATGCAGATATGAAGAGAGGCATACATGCTCACACCCATGCTTAGCACACACGAGGCATGCGCGCAAAGCCTTTCACAACCATTCATTCACGAAACGTCAGCAGTGAGCAGCTTGAAGAGCTCCTGGCACTTGGCGATTGTGGGGGCACGCCAAGACAATCACCGAGACGGCACCCTTTCACACCATCCACTCACGAGACATCGGCAGTGAGCTGTTTGAAGAGCTCCTGGCACTTGGCGATGGTGGGGGCGTGCTGGTAGCTCCCCAGCTTGCCCAGGACCAGGGGACGCAGCATGGCGTCCAGATGAGACTCGCCCTGCGGTCAGTCATGGGCGGTGAGATGCGCGGGGGGTGGAGCACAGGTGAGGTCAAAGTGGAAACATGTGGTGGTAGGGCCGTGCTGGTAGCTGCCCAGCTTGCCCAGCTTGCCCAGCACCAGGGGGCGCAGCATGACGTCCAGGTGAGACTCGCCCTGCCGTGAGGGGAGGTGGGGAGAGGAGGAGACGAGAGAACACAAAGGAGGTCAAGGGGGGACTTGGATGGTTGGGGCGGGCTGGTAGCTGCCTGCCCAGCACCAGAGGGCGCAGCATGGAGTCCAGGTGAGACTCGCCCTGCAGTGAGGGGAGGTGGGGAGTGGAGGAGATGGGAGAACACAAAGGAGGTCAAGGGGGGACTCGGATGGTTGGGGCGTGCTGGTAGCTCCCTAGCTTGCCCAGCACCAGAGGGCGCAGCATGGAGTCCAGGTGAGACTCGCCCTGCAGTGAGGGGAGGTGGGGAGTGGAGGAGATGGGAGAACACAAAGGAGGTCAAGGGGGGACTTGGATGGTTGGGGCGTGCTGGTAGCTCCCTAGCTTGCCCAGCACCAGGGGCCGCAGCATAGAGTCCAGGTGAGACTCGCCCTGCCGTCATGCAGCGCACCTAGTGCCACCTAAAAGGCCCGCACAAACGAGCCAAGTCTCTCAACCGACTCACCGATTTGGGCTCCCAGCCCAGCTTGTCGGCGATGGGAGTGAAGAGATGCATGGCCACCGCCTCCAGGAGAGGCTTCTGCTGCAGCGCGCTAAGTACTACCCAGTAAAAGATATCCAGCTCACACCCAAGTCTCCCTCACAACTCACCGCTTTGGGCTCCCAGCTCAGCTTGTCGGCGATGGGGGTAAAGAGCTGCATGCCCACCGCCTCCAGAAGGGGCTTCTGCTGCAGCGCGCCAATGAGGATCTCCAGCTCGCCAATGTCTCCAGCAATCTGCGCCCATACGGTGTATCTGGATGGGGGGGGGGGGGGGGAGGAAAGCACGTGGAAGCATGGTACATGCGCCTGTATCAGGATCTCCAGCTCGCCTATGTCCCCTGCTATCTGCGCCCATACGGTGTATCTGGAAAGCAGCGTGAGGGGAAGGGAGCACATCGAGGCTTAGTACAGTACATGCCTTTCTATAGAGAACTCCAGATCACATA